CTGCCTGAATTATTCCAATCCAAATTAGGCAATGGAAATCAAAGAGGAAAGGGAGCTAGGGCCGGCGGGTGAAGGGGATTCGGGTTAGGGGCCGGCGGCTAGTGGGGATGTTTGTGGAGCTCGGTCGGGAAGAGGAGATGGCTTGGGAAGGTAGAAGGGCTTGGATGCAATGAAGGCCAGTGGTGATGGTGGGAGGGGAAAGGAAAGAGATACAGAAGAAAACCACGAACCCGACTAGTCTAGGTTGGTGGGTACTATGAGATTCTCCCTCTCCTAGAGATTTCACTCCAAACTCTCAAGCCCTCGTAAGAAGCCAAACAAGAGAAATGAAAATTTTACTTGATCATTCATCCCTTGCAAAGAGAACCATAGGGGCTTTAAATAGCCTCTTACATAAATCTAAAAAAAAAGACAATAACGCCCTCAGGGCTTACATACGACATCCCTTAATAAAAGGATACAAGGGAACTTAAATAAAACAAACACGACAAATCATCACAAATAAGAAAGTACATGAAATAAATCAAAAATACAATGACAAGATAGTGGCCGTAGATCGGCGGCCACGCCTTTGATAACCCTTCCATGATATGATGTCCCCATTAACAGTCCAATTAGAAAATCCCAATAGTGGATGTAACCAATATCTTCAAATAATGATAAATCTATTGTTATTTGTTTGCACGTCTTTTTTTTTTTGTGAGCTCATTAGTTTGCTACATCTAACTCCCTAGTATTTCGGGCTGAACAATTCCCTTTTCTATTTTAATCCTCAACTACATGGTTGTCTTTCTATATTCGGTTAGATAGAGGTCAAATAAACCAACTATGCACATAAACTAATATTGATGTGAAACAAACAACGGAATTGCATTCGAGATTATAAAAAATTGATTTAAGCTTTGCAATATAAACTAATGTCTCACAAGATTAGATGCTTAGACTTAAGGCCATCAATAATATAAAGACAATCAATTACATGATAGAATAACAATCACTTGAGAATGATCTCAATCATAAAGATAAACTTAAATATTATAAACAAAATATCCCACACTTAACCATTAGAAAAGTCACCTTGAGTTTCCCTCACTCAAGCTCGTCTAGTAAGGGTTAGCGAGAAAGAACCTTAGCAAACCAAACGATGCCACCAAAGTTGAAAAGACACCTAGAGTAGTAGCCCAACGAAAGTTCGCCAAAGAGGGAGAAGACGTGGGTGGGTACCAAATGTTCCGTCAACCTCCGGATGGTAGATGCTCTTCAATTGATGACGCCAACGTGAATAAGGTGTGATTGATATGATCTTCTACGGAGTTGTCCACTTATGGGTCAAGGTTGAAGAGGATGGATTGATGACTATTCACTAAACTTTGATTGTCGTAGAGGAATCCACAATCACGATCCGAATCGGCCATGTACTAATCAAGGGGATTGTCGATGGCGTGAGGCCTTCTTCTTTCTTGGAGTGGAGCTCATGAGGCAAGAGGGTTTCCAAGAGGTGGGAAGGAAGAAGGGACGGCTAAGGGAAGGGGGGCTTGCTTTTGGTGGACTTAGGGTTTGGGTTTGGAGAGGGGAAATAATACAAAATCTGAAATTAGTTTCAGATTTTAGTAAAATAGGAAGTTGGATTTAAGAATTTGAAATTTGAAAATCAAATTCAAGTGGAGGGAGATTAATGAGGAGAGAGGAGGGAGATTAATGAGGAGAGAAGAGGGAGATCCCATGGAGGGGCCGGCGGCATACATAGGGTTGGGAAGGATTTGAATTTTCAATTTGAAATTCAAATTAATTTCAATAAGGATGGCTTGATTGGGCAGCAGCCAATGAGGGTTTAATGGGGAGTTAATGAGGGTCTAAGTGGCAAAATTGGAGAGAGAAAGGGCTAGAGAGGGGGCCGGCCACATGAGGGGAAATTTGAGGTGTTTGCATTTAATAAATGGGCCCGGAAATGATTTAATTGAGGATTGCCATTAAATTTGAAATTGATTTCAGACTTTAATGGATTTAGGAGGTCTCTTAATATACGCTATTAATAGGGAAAGTTTTAGAATTCAAATTTGAATTTGAATCTACATGAAGCAACTTTCCAAATTAATGAAGACACAATTAAGGAAAGTAATTACGAACGATTTTGAAAATTGAAATTCAAAATCCTTGGGTGGTGGGTTGATGGTCAGTGGCTTGTAGGGCTTGGGGAGGCCGATGGTGAGGGGTTAGTGGTGGACGGGTGAGGGGAGGCCGGCGGCACAAGAGTGAGGTGTTGGGTGGGGTTCGGTTTTTGGGAGAAGGAAAGGGGATGGGTAGTTTGGAAGGCCGGCGGGTAGGGGCTAGGAGGGGAGATGAAAGTAGAACGAAATTAGAAAAGAAAAAAATGGAGCCGCGAACCTTGGAATCCACCGAAGGTTGACGGGTTTTGCTCTCACCCACCTAGGGTCTCTCCTCTCATGAACTCACTTAGAGATCAAGCAAAGAAAACTAAATTTCATTTCAATATTCATCATCTCCTCTCATACAAGATGAGGACCTTATATATAAGCCTCCAAACAAATAAAAAAGAAAGACAAGAATGTCCTCAGGGCTACAACTCAAACACAAACAAATAAAGGATCCAATCGTCACAACTAATAAAAGAAACACAAATAAAGATAAAAAATAAAGACTTCTGATCAAGGCCGTCGCTCTGCACTGCTTCCGATGATAGACATTCCGGAATCTCCTACTGATGTCCTCATCAAATATGCTTATAAAAACAATCACTAAAGAGAAATTGAGATTTTGTAAAGCCCCACTCAACTTCCATATATAATTGAAAGGAGATGAAAACAAAACTAAGAGCGTGTTTGCTAAAAAAGAAAAGAAGAAGCATTCATTAAAAGATAAGAAGTTGCAAGGGAGGATTATCTCGTCCACTCTGATTCAAAAATCGAATTGTAGCAAAGGGCCATTTAGAAATAAAAAACAGGAGAAAATCCATACAAATCTAGGAATAGGCAGAAGAAGTTGATTGGAGATATATTTTCATGATAAAAGTTGAAAGATAAGTTGATAGAAGGAATAAGGATTTGAAGGGCAAGAGCAATACTTCAAAGATAATCAAGCAGATAAAATCATTGTAGATGGTGTTTCTATGACATTCATCATGTATCTAAACATAGTGAAATTAAGTAATGGATTTTTCACATCAACTAGTATTTATCTATGATTCCATTATTTCATAAATGATAGCCAATAAAATATTTAGGACAAGTAAAATTCTTCATGTGGAGTCAATTTGCTTTTACATGCAAGCACAACTATGATGCATAGACACGGACATGAGATGCGTCAATTAAAAATCTAGGACACGGATTAGACATGATATTATAATTTTTAAATCTTAAAAATAGTGTATAAAAATTGAATACATAAAACATTAAAAACAATTGAGAAGTAATAAGTAATTTAACTATGATTTGTGCTAAAAATGATTAATATTAGGATGTCAAGGGCGTCGAAGTTGTGATGGGCATCAAGTAGGAGTATCAATAAATGACCCGACTAGAAAAATATGGGTTCTAGTTGACCCGTTTAATAAACAAGCCGGGTTTGGGACCAGAATTCTGACCCATTTATCAAACGGATCAGGTTCAGGTTGACCCGACAGCCCGATTTTGACTCGTTCAAAAATTTTTCCTTAATTTTTTATTTCTTTGTATGATTGTCTTATTTTTTATTAATTAATCTTTCAAAAAATTTTCCTTAATTTTTTTATTTGTTTGTATTATTGTCTTATTTTTTTTATTAATTAATCTAATTTATTGTTAAAAATATATAATTTTTTTTATCAAAACTATTTATTGGGTTGGGTTGCTAGTTGGTTAGGTTTGGGTCCACATTTTTGACACGTTTATTAACAAGTAGGGTTCAGGTTGCTCGGATTTTGGTCGGGTCAATTTCGAGTCTGACCCGAACCCAACAAACTAACCCGTTTTGACACCCCTAGCATCGAGACTCGAGAGAAGAGACAACAATGCTCTTGATTCTAGTCTGACCCGAACCCAACAAACTGACCCGTTTTGACACCCCTAGCATCGAGAGAAGAGACAACAATGCTCTTGACAGTCGGGCATCATTGTTGTGTAATGGGCATCGAGCATTGATGTCAAGATAGTCCTTTAATGATCTCGAGATGATATTGGTCATCGATGTTAAGACGACATTAGACAAAGACGAGATGACGAGATGGCAAGTGGTCGTGATTGTGGTCCTGAAATTGCTGGTGTTGAACGTCAGTGTCAACACAATTTCAAACTTCAATATTGAGATACCGATATTGTGACAACATTGGGCGTCAATATTGAGATGATATTGAGTGTTGTTGTGAAACCCTAACCGCAGCCTGTCAGAGAGAAATGAAAATAAGAATGTTCATGTAATGGGGTATTGAGTGCGGATAATCAATTTGATCCTTTTGAGAAAAAATTAAAAACATAGTTTTTTATTTTTTCACAAAATAAAAAATTGAAATTCAATAAATTATATTTAAAAAAATTAATAAAATATTTTAGACATGCCTGTCAAACATATGTGTCTAATTATCATTAATATTTTTTTAATCGAACACATTTTAGGCGTGTTTGACACGTGTTAGAGAAATGTCGGACACGTGCTATGTCCGATATGTGTCGTATACTGCATACCACTTTGAGAATAAGTTTTGGTGCATCATAGAAGCACAACATGTTCTTAGGTTTGTAAACCTGCAAAATTTTAATACATTATTGAATGTCATAAAAATAGTGATTACTAACATCTATGTTCAGTATATAGATCCTAAGTTTTAATTTGACAATTGGTATTTGTGAGCAAAAGTTGAGTGCAAACTTTTCTTTTCTGTTTCTACAAATAAAAGATGGAAAGAGCATTGCAGGCTTACTTGCAAAATAAACAAAAGAATCAATAGTCCTAAGCCACATCAAATTGTCTAAATATGGGGAAAATAAGCAAACAAGCAGATGCACCTGTGAGCAATAGGTGGTGACTGAGAATGCATGGCAAACACTGCATTGCAAACATCTCGGAAAATCAAGAGGACCTCATTCTCCTCAAAGTATCTTGCTCCTCTACTTTCCAGAACATCAACCAATGACTTCTCACAGAACTCCATCAAGAGAAGCGCTTCCTTTCTTCTACCAATGTCTAATATACTATCTTCAACCAAAGTTACCACATTTGGATGCCCTTTGAGCACTTTCATCACTTGAATCTCTTTCATTACCAGATCAAGCGACTCCCCATCTTGACATATCATGTGCTTAAGAGCATATTGTTTGGATGCATTCACAGCGTCATGAGCAAGATATACACAAGAAAAGCCTCCTTCAGCGATGGCATTCTGAACACGGACCTTTGTATTGCCAATTTCAATTACTCTGCCTTCTACGCCAGCATGTTCTTTCCCAGAGAGGGGCTTGAACATCCACATTGCTAAAAAAAGAACCAGAGTGAGATTCTTTATGAATCCCATGCCAAATTCATCCCATATATGCTAAACAATTTTCCGAATTTAAGCAGACAACAGCATGGTAAAGAGAAAACTTGACCATAAACATACAAAAAGTAACAAAACATAGAAAAGTCCTGATATATTAAATACAACAACAAAAGCTAAGGAATTTGGACAGTTTTAATAGAAGTATTGGGCATAAGAAAAAAATCTCCAATTCGTTGGCATAAGCAAGATTAAGTCATCAATAACTCTTTTAAATCATGATTTGAACTTGACATTGTCATTCTCCACGGTTATGTTTTCTGCATTTCCACCAAAGAAAAGGTGGTTACATTCCTCCACTCATAGCAGGTATTTTTAAGAAGAAAATTTCAAAAATTGCCCATTCACATTGCTACTCGTATCTAAACCTAGCCCACCCAAAATATCGCAGAATGCATAATGGACAAGTAATGTCTAAGCCCCCCAGACTTCCCAAAATCCTATCAAACCCCAAATCTAACCAAGCATCCCAATCCACTGTTAAACCGACATCCATCCGCTAAGGACGGATCCCCCATCTACTAAGCAATCACTAGCTCAAATAATGGCAAAAGACGAAACAAATATAGGTCACCAATCCACAAGCAAAATACCAAATCAATCGTAGGACAGTCAACTCTAAACTCCGATGTCGAATCCGAGCTACAGTGGAAAAAGAAATGGATCCATTCTACGCACCTGAGGGATTTGAAGCCGTGGAAAAGTACGATAAGCAAAGAATGCACGCGATCGGCTCAGGATTGCCGCCGCCGGAGGCTCTCCGAACCTAAAAGAGAAAATTTTCACCAATGTTGGATTCAGATCTCTACGCTGGAGAGAGTGAGACCGGCCTCCCGTTCGCCGACCTTGGTTCAGGTTGGTTGTAAAGGGCGCGGAAAGGGAAGTTTATACGAAGTGGGACTTCGGTCACCGGTAGGCGGATGGGGCCATCTTGTCACGTGCAATGCACGCCTTGCAGTCACTCTCACCGGCATTTACAGGGACATTTACTTCAGACCTCGTATCTCACATGCCCCGAAAAAACAAAAGGATTTAAAAATATCAGCAGTCAAACTATTATATGTTTATCTAAATGTTATTATTTACTCATTAATCATCTTAAATTGTGTGTAAATAATATAAAAGTATCATATTTTCCTTCTTATTGGTCACATTAATGTTGTCCTAATAATATCTCATCAGGACTTTCTCGCTTTCTCTTCATTATCATGAATTTGGGATTACAAAAGATATCAGTTTTACGATCCCAACCCAAGAGATGGTGTTAATAGAATGATATGTTGAGTATATAGTAAGTCTTAGGTGTTAACTATATAGTATGCCCTTTTTTGGTGACTTATTTTGGTCGAGTTTAATGAAGAGCAAGGTCTAAACAAATTCGAAAAAGGTTGGAACAAGGTCTGGGATATGTTTGAATAAGGTTCAAACTGGTTTGACCACGTTCAAAACCATTTTCAACAGTTTCTTTCTGCTTAAGCTTTGTTAACAGACCTGTCAAAAACACTCATGAGCTCAATATATGGTTCAACTCCACTACTCAGTTTACTAACAGATTCTGTAAGGTTGCAATCAGAGCCGTAGGATATTTGCCATACATCTACACCATCCATAAACTTGGTAATGTATTATAAGTAGAACGTAATACATGTGCTACAGCAAGCAAGGAAGTATGGTAAATCCCTTATGCTCATATCGTCATCTTCTTCTTTTTGCTTATGCATATTTTCACTAACCTACAGGTCTGAAGATTCTTCATAACGATTAATTTTAACTTTATTAAAATTGCAATGTCATATAAGTGTAATTTCAGAATCAATCTTCATAACGACTAATGCCTAGTTAGAGTGTCATTGAAAGAGCATCATTTATACATAGCTAAATAGTTATATTCATAGAAATAACATTTACTATCAATATAACTACAAACTTTAAGGATTCATTTAAGATCTATCACTACACAACTACATAAAATAGTAATGATATAGCTATATAATTTAAGAATAAGTTTGCATGTAGCTTTATTCATTTAAAGTCCACATTAACGCATGAAATCATCAAAATAGATACATTAACGATACAAGTTATTAAAGAACAATTCTACACAAAGCTTATCTTAAAAAACCTATATGCAATCATATGTAAATTCAAGAGCATTTCTTTGATAAAAAAAGAGAAAGAAAATAGCATTTTCTTTGAAAATGTCTATAGAATGTATTGTATTATATGCACTCCACAATCCAAACTGCAAAACAATATAATTAAGAGCTATTATGATGTTGTGATAGTATTTATTCATAATGTAATGCCTCATAATCAAATTTGGGAGAATTATATATTTTATCTTCTTAATTAATCAGCCGGAGCTTTTATAAATTATTAAAATAATAAATCTATATCCAACAAAAGCAACTAACAATTGAGTATCTCAAAATATTATACTATATTCATTCTCCCAAAATCAATATACAATAGTTAGGTGATTAGTACAACTAATATTCTATCATAAATTATTGACTACAAAAGAATTAGAGAAAATACAAACAAAATAAAAAGAAAACCAAAATTTTTTTTATTAATCTTACTTCAACTAGTCTTGATATATACCTTCACTAATATAAAATCATTAAAATCCACTAATGAGCTAAAAAACTCAGCAATAACTCAAACTCACTAAAGCTTTCAACACAAGGCAAAAAGAATCAATATACATACTTAGTTTATTCAATAAAATTAATCTCATCAATGATTAGTTATCATTTGTAAAGCTCCAGATGATCAATAAATCATTCAAGCATCGGCAACAAGAATCATAGGCACACAAATGTTAATATTATCAGTCTTATCCTCTTACATCCATTCTATCAATTATATGCATGCATCAATATAGTTTAGCAAGGTAGGACATCCAGCTTTAATGCAGTATTTTCATTCTTTCATCTGTTCCTTCATCATATCATTATATCATATCATTGTCATTCATCTTTTATCACTATTATTACAAATGGCTTTAAAAATTATTAAGAGTCGTCACCCTCTTCTCATCGGCCTAATTTGGTCTTCTATTATAAGTTACAACTACGATAACACTATTAATCATCTTTAAAGGAAAGCATATCGACCCACGCTCCTGCACAGGATATTAAGTTTTAACAGTCAACCCATCTTATAGTGTTAATAGTCAATATTTCTTGCTTATGCAAATGTCACAATCAAAATGCAATATAAAATAGTCAATTATGTTCAATACAAAAAAATAATATAATATCTACAATTTTAGAAAAATTATAACTTCAATTTTACCTGGTAAAATTCAGTAATGTTATTGTCAAAATATCCACACTGTTGATATATATTATATATAAAAAGTTCTAAAATAAAAACTTGATAAATCATGAAAAAATGCATTTTTATCGAATAGGAGAGAAGAAATTTGTTAAACTCAAAATCATTAAAAACTAAAATAAGTTTTAGGCTACTTACAACAAATAGAAGAAATTTCTGAACAAAATTAAAAAACGAAAAAACTCTAAAAAACCTTCTCTCTCCTCCCTCTATCTTCCTTCTTCGAAATAACACGACTTTGAAATTCAAAATTTTTATTAAAAAAACATTTTAAAAAATTGAATTATTTCACATAATCTGAAGGACATTACACTATTGTGCTTTTAACACCTCAACTTTTTTATTCTCATCCATTTCCTTGGTAATGAGAGGATGTCCACTACAAGAAAGTCATCTTTTTGTGGCGGACAAATTCGCTGCAAAACAAGCCAAATTCATCACAAATTTAGTTTTTCGTTGGATTACATTTTGACGACATAAGTCATGTTGCAAAGCTATTTGCAACGGACAGAATCCATTGTAAATATTTTGCTATGGATTTATGGTAGATTTACTATGAGTTTAACGTCCAGAAAATGATGTCTTCATTTTAGTTGCCCACTGCTGATTCTACCACAAATTATGATGGATTTATGACAAATTACATTGGAAATCCCGTCATAATTTGCGATAAAAATATTCTATCACAAAATATGATTCACCTTTGTTGTTTTGATGTTTGCAGCATAAATTAGTCTTAAATCAGCTGAAAATCTGTAACGTAAACAAAAAATAGCACCTACCATTCATTACTAAGCTTTTTAACAATAATAATCCAAGTAGTAGTTAATAATGCTACATGAAGTAGTTAGTAATGTTACTATTTCAACAAACATTGCTAAAATAAACATAAAAAACACACTATTTTATAATCACAAACCAACAAATCAAATAGAAAAGCACATTCCAGCTATATTACAATTACTCAACACAGTTAAAGTAAATATAGTACTTATACTTCAAAAAAATGCATAAAAAATCTAAGAAGATAATTTAAGCAAAATATGTATCCTCATTCTCCTACTCAACTGATAAAAAGTACAAGTTAATTTTCACCAATTTGCTCTCTCAAGTTTTGAAGATCATCTAATATTTGAATGTTAATATCCACTTATAATTTTCGGACATATTATAGCTCTACTATCAAGTTAGCCACCTATTAGATGTATAAACTCTCATGACTATTTGTAGTGTAGCTAAAGATGGAAGAAGGCTATCCCTCATATGCGTAGGCCTACGAGCCTAATCTATAAGCTCATCCCCTCCGCATTCCACCTACCGCCTACCACTAAGTGTGGTAGTCAGAAATATCTGTGAAACTCCAAGAGGATGTCTCACCAGCTGTAATCTGGCTCTCTTAATGCCATGTATACTCATCATACAAAATATAATATAATATTAATCATTATATAATCATCACTTGTAATATTTATCTGAGATTTTTAATCTTATATACTTACATAGTCCTTCCTCGCTCACTCACTCACCCATTGCTGGTCCTCTTGGTGTTTGTGGGTGTGACTGTGCAACTCAACAGTAGTGAGTTCTTCACCCATCATCACCTTCTATAATATACTTAGATTATCATACATAATCAAATAAATTATTAAAATATATTAAATTTTTTATCAATCGTCATCTGTGCTCAGTATGTGAAACTGAGCCCCCGGCATTGAGTGAGATACACAAGCCCCCAATGTCAGAAGCTCAATTATGTTTGTTCTAATCCCTCCTCGTTGTATAATCTGGGCTACCCCAAGAATTACTGAGCTCGGCTTATACACCCTCTGTGATGCCCCAAGATCTAACTTGGAAAGAATGTCAATCAATTTTCCAAATAATTTACCAGAGTTATCTAAAACCTTCAATTAACCAGTCTATCAAACATCTATAAAATTTAAAATATCAATATACAAGTCGATCTATAACTCAAAAGGTCATGTACAATACTCAGGAACTACACTACAATCATCAGTTCTGAAATCTATCCTGAGTACACTGAGAGGAAAAATCCAAATCTGAGAGGAACAGTAAGGGAACGAGGTCTCACACCCTCTCTAATCTAAAGTGGTCGCTCTCCTATCCTCCTAATATGTGTGAACATGTCTCATAGGTGAGTTACTCCGTCATTTTTTAAGTTTATTCTAATGAGTGTATCATAATCCGACAACCAGTAGAAATCTATATATATAAAAAACAAAAATTATTCTTTGTTAAGTTAATAAAAGATGAACGAATGTTAACAATACTTCAACTTAATAACTTCGAACTCCCTAAACCACATGTCGTGCACTTCCTTTAGGATTTTCTTCTAAGAAACATATGGAGCATCAAATTTGTTTTGTATAATATCCCATATAATGTGTGTGGGCTACATGCATGGATGAGTAAAACATGCCCAACACATTTACTTCAAAACATTAATTCTCAAATATTTGTGTAATATAAGACATGCATT